AAGAGTTGGCTTTTCCTCATCTCCAGCATTAATGAAACAGCACTTCTGTGACCAGTCTCCAACACACGATCGATCGTTGCAAAGGCATCCAACGCCATTGGTTTTGCCCCAACAGAATAAAATTTCACATCTTTCAGACACGAATGAAACTCCCACAAGTTTACAAATTCTAAGACAAAACCACTAGTTACTGATTCTGAAAACAAATCCCCGTTCAGGCAGCTGGCACTGCTCAGGTGGCAGCTGAACATCAGGCTCTCTAATGATCTGCAGCTCCCTGGGAAGCAGCATGAAATGTGTGTGGAAAACTCATGTCTTGGTGCATAAAGCACTAGAAACAAGCCCAGGACAAGAGGAAAAAGGTGCAAGACTGTTAATGTGCTAATAACATTTTTAGATACCACCCTAAATCTGAATCCATTACAGATAAAGTTAATCCGTTTCAGAATTCTCTTAAACACCGAGTATGATAAGCAATGAGAACGAAAAGAAAAGAACCATTTCTTGCTCTGGAACAGGTGAAAAAGGCACATTCCCTCAGAAACATTAAAAAAAGCAGGATGAAAAAGCAAAGTGCAGAAGGCTGATGTGCTCTGGTTTGTGCAGTCAGAGGCAGGGATAGAAATGCTGCTTCATTACTCTGACCTAATTAAGAATTCCTTCTAGGAAAGGACACAAACACTTGGAGGAGGCTGTTACAAGGGGTAGAGAGAAAACTAAAGAGTTATCTTTTCTTTCTAATGACATCATGTACAAGTCATCAAGATTTACATCCAAATCAGAATCTGAAAACTCAATTAATTAGAAAATGACTTTTGAGTTAGAAAAACTTTGAGTTTTTTCAAAACTCAAAGGTAACTTAGACTAAAATGACCTTTTCTTCCATGTGATCAACAACTTTGCACGATGTGTCTCAGCTTCCTAGTTTTTTTTCTGCAATGACTATCTTGGATTTCTAGACAACAAAGAGCTGCTATTTCTATTTATCTGTGTATTCATCTTTTTCAATAATGAAATATCCATATATGACACGCCAGACAAAGGATTTGGACAGGCGAGTTAACCCCAAAAAATGGATATAGAAAATAGGATCAATAGGTCAGCTGGCAAGGAAACAAAAACTGAAGATTCTATGCAGTTGTGATACTAATATATGACAATGCAAATGCTGTAAGTTCACAAACAAATATTTCTTACAAACAAATAATATCTGATATTCCAGCATTACCCAGCCAGAGGAACTCCAAGTGCAAGTACCATTTTAACCAAGTCTTAAGCATTTCATATAAACCTACTTTGATTTCCTGATATATTAAAATTACGAGTACAGATTGAAATATAAAAGGATATTTATACATTTTCTTTCTTACAGGCCTGTTAAACTGATGAAGTCAGAATTTCTCAGGTTTTTCGAGGTGAACAGCTGATAGGAGCTGCACTACAAAGCAGGTAAAGCAACTGAATATTCTAAATATGAGTATGTTGCTTTCTATTATGCATTATAGAGAGAGTTTGATGTTGCCCTTCTCAGTGTCACCTCATGTCTATCATTATTCCCCTGGCTTTTGTACTTATGAAATAAGTAAATACACTTCTTTTACTATCTGGAAAACAACACCAGAGGAGTAAAACATAATTTGCAAGCTTGTATCTGTGGAAATGCCACGAATTGTTCTCTGATGCTGCACTCCTGCTTTTATTTCAAGAAATTCATATTCCCCAATATGAGACCATAATTTGCATAGCCTGGAGAAATCCTGAATTTAAAAGCACTGGTAGACACAAGCCATCACTTACCACTGAAAAATGTCCTGGAAGGTGGCTGCTTCCAGAGGACCCCAGCTCTGACACACAGGTTCTTCTGGAGCAGGAGGTTACAGCTCCACACCAAACTGCAAACACAACAAACAAGAAGAGTTGCTTACGTACAAATGTTTAATAATGCAGGTGTCAGCAGTGCAGTGCAGTGACAATCTTATAGTAAGAAGCTTCTGACATAACACGTACTTGCATCCCAAGGTAATGTTTATAAAGGGCAGAGCTGAATTCAGCCATGCTGATCAAAACAAACTGCTTGCAAATGGAATGGTAAATTTTATAATGATTGTTTAGCACTTGGGATTATTCCATCTCCACCAGGGTACTATTCAGGTGTGTCATTTAGGAACCTCCTACAACAGCAACTATCTAAAGAGACATGATTTGGTTCAGGTACCTTTTTCCTCACCATCCTGGTGGGGGGAAGGAGTACTTGGAAAAGCTACAGATTTTATGAAGAAGTAATGGCATTTGTTAGACCAACTGGTCTAGCTAGGAAAGTAAAAAGGCTTCCAGGTACAGCAGCTCTTCTTTAGAATTTGTCTTACCACTCTGTTTGCTGGTGAACTGCAGTGAGAGTGGTTCTGCCTCTCTGAAAACACAGAATATACACTTGGAACTGCCCACCATAGGGAAAAGGTTAAACCAGGACTTTCATATATTTAATATTATATATTATATTATATATTTCATTTCATGTTTTTAATACACCTGAAAAGGAGCCATCCAGTTGTACTGAATAAGCACGTTTAAACAAGTACTTGACTGTGGCCTGGCAAGAGCCCATCCTGCTGTCAGGCAGGATCACAGGGAGGAGAGGGGCAGTGTTCCCACACCAACAGGCTCAAGCCCTCAGGAGGAACCAAGCCTGGCAGGTCTCTGGGCAACCCACTCATTCCTGAGATGCAATGGCACAGCTGGGATGTCTTCATTTGGCCCTCTGGCCTTTCATCTGCTCCTTATCAGATATACACTGAGGACAGAGTTGCTTCATTAGCTTACAAGCTATTGCATCATTTAGGGCCATTCAATCCCAGGAAGTGATTATAAAGAATTTAAACAATTAACTTCAGGTATCTACTGAGTTACATATAGACATGATCCCTTTATTTTGAAAAAGATTCTACAAATAGCAGATTTCTTGTCTAGAAATCACATAATGATACTACAGACACTTGCCAACAGTGTTTTACCATTAGCCAAGGACAAAGAGCTCCAGTTTTCACCTATCCCCGGGGCAGTGGGGTGGAATAGCTCACTCCACCTTCATGGTAACCCAAATATGACAGGACAGACTCTCCCCAAAATCCAGATTCCTGTTAGCAGGTGCTAAACCTGTCACACTGCTACATCATCTCCCAGGATAATACTTCCTTGGCAAGGCAGAAAGAGAGTCCCCACAGCTGCAGAACCTGTATGTTTTACAGAGCAACATGCTGTTATTTGTCATGAACAACGAGGTCAGCTGACACTGCTGGGTCACACACCAGACCTACACCAACCTGTGCTATTACAAGGCCTGTTTTACAACATATTAAAACACTGGGGGACAAGGAGCACTTGCTCATCAGCAAGGTGGAAGCCTATAGGCTACTTCAAAGGCAGTCAAAAACTTAAGTAATCCAGTTAGCATTAGACTTAAATTTACCAGAAAAGTTTTCAAACCCTAAAAAGTAATGGGGGAAAAAATATTAAAACCTAGCTACAGCCTAAGGCATTAGTATTCAAGACATTTATTAGCCTTCATACACGACAGCCTATAAAAAGTGCACAGCCAGAACAGATGAGCCGCCCTGGCTTCACAGGAGCCGCAGGAGCTGTTCCTGCTGCCGGGGCAGGGCAGGGCATTCCGGGACATGCCGCTTCCTCAGCCAGATCAGCACTGAGCAAGGACACTCCCTGCAGATCCTAAGCTCTTACCCAAATTGTTTCTGGCGCCCAACATGGGAAAATCAATTTACTCTGAAATCTGTCTACAAACAGGTAAAGATGACAAGACTAAACAGCCTCACCTTCCCTGCTCCTGACAGCCTGACCTTGGTGGGTACAAGTGTGGGAGGGAGTGTTGACCTCCTGCCTCTGCCACCCGACTGGAGACTGTTGGAGCGGGAACTACCAGGGAATTCCGTGGTAATTCAGCCCCTCGGTGACTTCAGTCTCTGGACAAGAGACAACCCCTCGGCTGTCGGCACCGAGCCAGAGGTGACAGTGCTCTGTGCAAGAGCTGTTTGCTCCAGGTTCTGAGACAGAAGGTGGAGTAAAGGGGCTGTGTGTTCTAAGAACACAGAACTGTGGCCTAGAAACGCTATTCTTTAATCAGTTTAGTCGTTATAAAAAGCACAACCTGTAAGAGGATATCTCCTGCAAAGGACTGTCGGTGCCCGGCCAGGTCCTTCTCAGAGCCATCCTGCCCCGGGCTTGCATAACCCGAGGGGCTGCAGCTGCCCCCCATCAACCCATTCCCACTAAACACTTACACACTGACACAGACTGTGAAACCGAGTTAAAACTATCAAAGGCCATGCGCTTCTCTTTCTTAAAATACGTAAACCCCTTATCTTCCCTTCCAGCTTGGGGCACGGGTACAAGGCTCCTCGCACATGCCAAGAACGGGGCCGAGGCAGCAGAGACAGCGGCGTTCACCGCGGGAGGGAAACGTCAGCGGGAGAGGAGGGAGAGGAGGGAGAGGAGGGAGAGGAGGGAGAGGAGGGAGAGGAGGGAGAGGAGGGAGAGGAGGGGGCGGCTGCGGCCCCTGGCCCGGGAGAGGCCGGATCAGCGCCCCAGCTGCTCCTCACGCCCCCCGCCCCCGGGGTGCCGGCTGTCAGACAGGGCTGCCGGCCCCGGACAGTGACAATGACAGTGACAATGACAGTGACAATGCCAACACCAGCCCCAGCCCCACCTGCCGAGCCCGTACCTGCTCCGCGCCGCCATCTTCCCGCACCGCCTCTGCCGCGGCCCGCGCGGGAGGGCGGGAACTGCGCGAGGGGCGGGGCCGGGGCCGTGGGCGGGGCCGGCGCTGTGAGGGGAGCGGGCGGTCCCGGGGACGGGCTGTGTGTGTGAGGAGTTCCTTGGAATTCCCCGAGGGAATACGGCGTGTAGAGATGGGGTCATTCCTCAGGGGAAACGTGGAATGGGGGCACGGGTGCGACACTGTTCGCCAAAGGGGGGGTTGGTATGGGGTGAGGGCTGTTCTCCGGGCGGGGGAAGAAGCCGTCGCTGAGGCGATGTGGGGAACGTGGTGTGGGGACATTTCCCGGGGGATTAGTGTGGGGACAGTGTGGTGGTCCCTGAGGGTGTGTGGAGTGTGGATCAGGTTGAAGAGGGAGCCGCTGCTGGGGAGTTGTGGATGGGACAGGAAGGGTTCAGCTGCTGCTCAGCGCTGCTGTGGAGGGGCAGGTGAGTTCTTGTCCACAGGTGTGGGAGCACCAGGGATGTCAGGGCAGGAATTTTAGGGAGAGGACACTCGGCATGGGACAGACACAGCTGTTCCTCCAAGTGACATGTCTTGCAGGGTAGTGCAGTAACATCTGTTCCTAGTCTGGTGTCCCTTGCCTGGATCCTAGCAGCACAGAGTGAATTTTAGAGAGATTATTTGCTTTTCCACCATCTTGCATACCTAGATAGATGCATAGATGCTACATTACTGGGAAGTAGCTAATGACCTTTCTTTGGCAGTGGCAGGGGGGTAGTTTCACAGGGTGAATCAGCAGGAAAAGAATTCCAGAGTCCTTCCACTGTGTTTCAGAGCTTTAGGACATGATCCTCAGGCAGTCCTGATTAATTTAAAGTTATGATTGATGTTTATTTGTTTTCTTAATCAGGCCTGAATGAAGTCTACAACACCTTCATGTCATTCTGCATTTTTCACATCACCACAGGCAGCAGTAGTATCTGTATAAATATCTTAGACATGTGCAGGAAAGCTCTTCGTCATTAAATATGTAACATTTGAGCAGAAATCCAGATACAGCCCTCATGTAACAGTCATACTATTAACTTTCTGAATTGTTGGGATGTACCTATCCTGTACATAATTGTAGGATTGTCAGGAAGTAAAACATCAAAGAGAGTGGGGTTTGACAGTGTTGGGTGCTTTGGTAGAAGCCTTGCAAGAGCCATAAGCTTTGTTGTCTAACAGCTGGTGGGCCTGACAGGCAAGTTTCCCCAGAATTGACTCAGAAGTGATTCAGAGGTTAAATGTAACACACTTGTTTATAGTGTATAATAATTGTCACAGACTGAACTGATTAATGACCTGTCCTAATCTAATCTTTCTCCTTGGAATTAAAAGTAAATGTGTGGACATTTAACTATTTTAAAATTGCTTTTATCATGTGTTTTGTTCTTACACTTGTAGGGGATTTTTAACCCCTCACTCACTGAGGGATAAAACACACTCCCCTCAGGTACTGAGCTGTGTTAGGCTGTGCAGGTGAGCCAGGTCAAACGGGGGCTGTTCTCCTGTTCTTTTTCATACCACAACTGTTCTTTTAGAAAATGAGACAATGGAGGTCTTGGAGCTTCAGAACTTTTGTTCAGGGAGTGCAGGAAAGAGTGAGAAAAGCCTGAAGTTGAATGGGGCTTGGAGCAACCTGGTCTAGTGGAAGGTGTCCCTGCCCAGGGAAGGGGGTGGAATGAGATGAGCTTTAAAGTCCCTTCCAACTCAAATCATCCTGTGATTCTGTGTAACTTCTGTGATCAGATCAGTAACACCCCAAAAAATGTTGCAGATCTAGAGAGGCAACCTGTGAAACTCAGAGATCAGCAATCTGAATGTGAAAGAAGCAAGTGGTGAATGATGACTGGGTATCATGAGGGAAGGGGACATAAGGCAGCAAAAGAAATCTGGGAAAAGTATCTGCAAAAATAGGTGAAGCAGACAAGGTACTAAGGAAATCCAAAGAAGGAAAAGTTAATTCTCTCCTGAACAGGAAGGTTGAAGCCATATTAGCAATAATTTATGCATCATCAGATCAGTGTACCTGTCTATAATAGAATAGAATATATACTGTATATTATATAAAAATATATGTTTTATATATAGCATATATATGTATGTATGTGTGTGTATTTTCCCTCTGCCATAGAATTAATGATGTAAAGTAATTAAGAGGTAAAAATACTCCAGGCTAAGTGTTAGAAAACAGGGAAATAAGGCAGTCTGGATGACATTGCTGTGCTGGAATGGAATGAAGAGAATCAAGACAGTCAACAGTGTCACAGCTCTGTTCTGATTTTGTGGGAAGGCATAGGATTACTTTTTGTTAAAAGTTACTCAGTAGATAAACCATTATCAAGGTGAAAAAAATAAGGTAAGAAGGACCCTTCAGTGTTCTGTAGAGAGATATGGTCAGTAGTTTGGACAATTCACTTAGCTTTAGCTATCTCTGTTGTAAGATAGGTTCAAGTCCTACCCATCTCCCAAAGGCACTTTGAAAAAGCAGAAGCACAATTTATTTCTTCAGCAGAGGATTACATCTCTTCCTGTGTCTGATCAAAACAAAGCAGAAAATGCACAGATTTTTTCCATCTGCGGATAGGACTAGGACACTGTCCCTGTCTCCCTTGCATACAAGGTTATACCATCCCCTGACAGTTTGTTTGTTTTCTTAAATCTTGGTTTATCCCTGTTGATGCCTAAAACCCCTTTGTTATCTTCCAGAAGCTTTGGTCAGCACTGTGGAATTCCTGGTATGAGAAGGCAGAGAGTCAGGGTAGAGAGGAGATCCTTGCTGAGCTGCTGTGACCATGAAGGCAGTGATTTTAATCGTCCTAATCATCTTCTCTTCGCTCTCTTCAGGTAAGGCTGATGCAGAGAGGGAGAGAGAAAGGTGACCTCTGGGGGGGGGTGACCTCCAAACTAATGTGTGCTTTGGTTTTGTTTTCTTCTGTGCAAAGAAGTTGCAGCCTGAGCTGTGCCTGTGGTTTCCATTTGCCTGTATTTTTCCTGTTTGATCATTGGCAGATGGTGACCCTGTTAGTTTTGAAGCTGCTTGATACACTCAGTGTATCCTTAGTGATTCAGGGAAGGTTTGTTTCCTTTGAATACTTGGGATCTGGGTACTCATCAACGCTGTCAAAATGAGTCAGTGAACTTCAAGCTGCTCCCCTCTAAATCCACAACGGGTTGTCCTTGGAATTGTACTCAATTAACATCAAAACAAGTGGAGTACTAATGTCTGATGCTATGCTGGAAGAAATAAAACCTTTCATCTTTTAATTATAAACATTACTTATTCCAGGTAATATTTTTGTGTAATATTAATAGATCACCAGAGAGTGAAATGCTGAAACATCTGGAAAAGACAATGTAGAGATGTTGTGGTGTTTGCTGGGCATTCAGTCCTGGTTTTCATTACACGGCTTAAGATTCTCTCGAGCTGCAGTAACTGCAAGGTCTTAAACTGAGGGGGGTTTTTTTTGTGAAATCCTACAAGTCCTGACTTCTTTTTTGATGCTACAGGGAAGAAATTCCGCTGGTGCACCCTGTCTGACCTGGAGCAGAGGAAGTGTGCCGAGCTGTCCAAGGCGCTCACGGCCGTGCTGCCCCTCGCCACTGCCACTGCCTTTGCCAGGATTTCTTGCATCAGAGCCCACAATACCTATGACTGCATTGATAAAATCAGGGTGAGTTCACAGAGATTTTTTTAAAGCTGATTTGGACTCCAGATCCTCTTTTAAAAGAGTAACTGGCAAACAGAATCTCTGGGAGAATAAAATGATACTGAAAAGATAGAACTGCATATTTGCAAAGTGCATGGTTGCTTGAGAGGCAAGAGTTAAATCCCATGAGCATTCTACTAGACATACTGTTTCATCCCAGCTAATGCCCTTGCAATCTCCAAGAAATATAGAAAACTGCTGGGAAATAAATGGATAAACCCAAACTATTAAAGTAGAACTTACTCAGAGCATTTCCCTTGTTTGTGTGTTCTGGTCCTACTCCGACTGTAATTAATATTTAATCTTCCCTTTCTTCCATACTATTTTTAGCCCCTAGTCAGTCTTTTCTGAAGTAAAGAGCAAAGTCTTTTGCATATAAAAAATTTCATTTTGAATAAAATTACACATCAGACCTTTTGTAAGTGTAAGCTCTTGTAACTGAGCAGTTCTGCAATGGAATTTTCATAATGCTAAATGCTTTGACAAAAATCATTAATGGAAAAGGAAGATAAGCATTTGCTGTAGAATAATTTCATTAACATTTACATTCAGTCCTGGTTGCCTTCAAAAAATGGAGTCCAGATCTGACGTGGAAAACACAACAAAGAAAACTTTCTTGTTGGTTCAGGGAATAATTTATTTCATGTTTTCATTCAGTCTTGCAGCTATTTTAAATAAAATTCAGTTCAACTTCCTGGGTTATGGAAAGATTATACCCAGGAGAACTCTGAGAAGGATTTGGGGTCTGGGGGAGTAGTAGGGGGAAATAGGAGTTGCTTTTTTCTTCACTTGACATCAGAATTGTGTTTTTGGAATGGAAGACCCAGAGAAGAAGGGAGAAAGAATGTTAGTGGAAAAGAACTGGTATTTTTTGAAGATAACTCAGCCTTCATTGCTAATATTTCACCATGTTTTGTAGTAGGAGTTCAATTAAAAACAAATGCTTGTAAAAAACACTGGTTACTGCTTCTCAAGCAAAAAAATGTGGTCTTGAAGCTTCTGTTCGTTTTCTTGTAAACACAGTTGTTTTGAGAGTTTTGCTCTTGTTTTTAAGGCAAATAAAGCAGATGCTGCTTCCTTGGATGCTGGAGATGTTTACTCTGCTGTAAAACTTTATGGTTTGGCAGTGGTGGCAAAGGAGATCTATGATCAAGGTAGGCTGGTAAAGCAAAAGAATAAGCTGTACTTCTGATTTGGCTAAGAAATTACTCTAGAGTTCTTGAGAAAAAAAATCTATGGTTTTTTATTAACTTTATAGGAGTATGGAGGTGGTAAACAACATTTTCTAAAATACTTAGTAATGATGAATAAAATCCCAGTGGTGCTTTGTGCCCAGCAGCCTTTCTGCCTGTGGCACTGCCACTGTGACAGACTGACTGTACCTACCCCTGCCCACAGCACTGCTGGGCTGGAGTCTGCATCTTGTAGGGAATAAGAAGGATTTTACTCCATCTGTGTCAATTCTTACACCGTGCTCTTTATCAGCATAACTGAACGTTTACTATCAGTTCTTTAAGAGATTATCTTCTCTCATGAATTAATTCTCCTTCTCACCCTAAAAGGTGAGAATATAAGGGGGAGAATCTTATCATGGTAAGATTCCTATTCTCTCCTGTCAGTCCTGAACAGTCTGCAGTGAATGATTTGTAAGGCAAGAATAAATAAGTCTGAGCCCAAATCAAGCACACGGTAGAAAATACCATGGGACATGAATCTGAGAAAGAAGCCAAATTAGCAGATGGATGTAGGAAGAGATTAATAAGGAGAAGGTATGAGAACAGAGATGAACTTTGTTTTGGCTGACACACCGTGAAATGGTGAATATGTTCTGAGGATAAGACGTAGGAGTTCTTTCCATTACAATACCTAAAGAGTGTGATGCAAATATTCAAAATTCTTGAGAAGCAGTTGCATTGTATGATGGAGCTGGATGGGCTTGTGAGCTTTTTCCACCAGATTTTTACATTCTTTCTTGCACATCACTTGCATCACTTGTTTGACAAGGTGCCATGTACCCAGTGTATGGTACATACACTGGTTTCTGGCATCAGCACCTACATTTAATCTGCCTAATGTAGATTTTCCCTTGGCCACGTTCACAGAAGTTGTTCAACTCCTGTACACAGATGGAAGCTGCAGAATTGGGATATATTTTTAATTTCTGTTACATATTTTGTGCTACTGCAGGAAATTGTGTGTTTGCTGTGGCCGTTGCCAAACGAGGAGCTCTGGATATCCAGAGGCTGCGAGGTGTGCGCAGCTGCCACAATGGAGCCAGGTGGACATCGGGCTGGAATATTCCATTTGGCTTCCTCCTTGCAAGAAATGACCTTTCCTGGGATGAGGCACAACCTCTGAGCCAAGGTGGGTGATAGGAGCCACAGGGCTCTGCCCTCAGCAAGAGTAAGTGAAATGCCAGCAGATGTGGGATGAACTGGGCTGTGTGGAAATTAAAGGGATTTGTGGATACTAGGTCCTCTTGGAGTGTTTCTGCTCCTGGCTCTTAGGTCTCTTCAGAACTTTTCCAGTGATCTCAAAGCAGCAGAGTTGTTACCAGAACAGGAAATCTTCGTGTTCTATATGTAATGTCTAACCAGCACAAAGATGATTTTAAACAAGCAAAATTTGATCACTCTGTTTACAGCGAATGTTTCAGATTTGGAGTCTAGAGGAAGTTAAAGCTGCATTTGAAAAACTTATTTCTTTCTAAAACCACCATGGTCTTAGTTATGTCCATGGTATGTGTGGCCCCTTTTCCTTCTTTTTTTTTTTTTTTTTTTCCTTTTGCCTCCTTTCTTTCTTTTTACTGTGTTTTGGTTTTTCCCCCTACACCTGCAGCAATCAGTGAGTATTTCAATGCAAGCTGCATCCCTGGGGTTGGTGTTGCTGCTCCTCGACTGTGTACTCTCTGCCAAGGACAAAAATCCTATGTCAGAGACAAGAACCACTTCTGTGAGACAAGCAGCAATGAACCCTTCTATGACTCTGAGGGAGCCTTCAGGTGAGCTCTGGGACACTGGCACTAAATTCACCCTTGGGGCAAAAAGAACTTGTAAGGGAGGAAAGCCAGGTGACATGTTAACAGGATGGCATTTGTCTTCCTGCAGGTGCTTGAAGGAGGGAGTGGCAGATGTTGCCTTTTTAGATCATCTAAGAATTCTGAGTGCCACAGGTAATCCTAAAAACTCAGACTGCTTTTAATCTATGGATGTGCTCTTTCCTGCAGAGGAGTTTGGGGGTTATGCCAATATTTATGTTGTTTCCAGTGAAAATTCAATCCATGTGAGCAGCTCAATAGTATTTCTTGGCTGTCCACACAAGGAAACAGAAGAGGAAAGGGTAAGTGAGCAATAATTGCTCACAGGAGAGTCTTAGAATGGAAGCATAAAGATGTTTTTATACAGGTGATTTCTTTAGACTAAAGTCTCTGACACAGCTGTCAGTATTTGCTTTGCCTGAGTTATAAGATGCCTTTTTAAATTCAGTGTATTGAGCTGCTGGGACTTGAAGTTCCTGTACTTTGTACTTTTAAACTCAGTCGATCTCTTTACTGATGTTTTTGAGGGTGGTTAGCAGTAGTGTTAGCAGGTGAGTATTTTTAAACAAACATAGTTACAGGGGTACAGCTTAAAGGGTATTTTGAGACACCTCTGGCTGAGATCCCTCTCTTTTTTAAGAGAAGAACAAATCAAAGACCACTTTCCCAGGTGCTCTTGGTACCCTGTGCTGCCTGCATAACCTTTGAGCAACCTCCCCTGAAATATACCTTGCATTCCCTCTCTGTGCCTGCTGCCCAGTCATGGCTCACTTGGCAGATTCCTGAGTGTCTGCTTGTTTCAGAGTCAGAAGAACAGGAATATGAACTGCTGTGTCCTGATGGGAGCACAGCTGAGCTGAGCCAGTACAGCACCTGTAACCTGGGCAAGGGGCCCGGCCGGGGCATCGTCACCCGCAACAACTTCCACAAGATCACCAACAAATTCCTCAGCATGATCCAAGTGAGTGCATTTTATAAGCTGTAGATCTCCAGACACAGGTTTTTCTTCCATATTAGTGTGGTGATTATCTCCCAGTTTGCCTTTTTTCTTGAGAAATTTGTAGTTAGTGTGAATAAAGCCCTAAAAATTGTTCTGGGGAAGGATCCTGCACTGGCTTCTGGAAGGTTTTACTTTTCTCTGAAGTGTTCTTCTGTAGGAGGCTGGGAATAAATAAGTAAAGAAGGGGAAGATGCCATAACACCCAAACTGCAAAATGGCTGATGATGTTCATCCTGCCCTGGAACTTAAGTGAATTTCTGTGTAGCTGAGGCAGATGTGCAGGTTCTGTCAGGGCTCACCTTTCTTCCTCCTTTTTCTTCTCAACTTCTGAATGGTATCTGATATCTTGGCATCCTGGAATCTATTTGAAGCTGAACCTGAAATGCATGCTTAAAGAATTTATGAAGCCACTCAGCCCTTAAATTAGTTCAGTAGACAGTGAATAATTCACCCCAGTGGGCTGTGCTGTGCTGTCACGCAGACCCTGGCAGAGAGAGGTTATACACAATCTTTCCTTTATTGAGAAACTTCATGTGCCTTTGTCAGTGCACTTATTAACACACCTTAGCTGTGCAGCAGAGGTCCTGCTACACTTCTCAGTGCTTTCTTCTCTCCCAGTGCCATCAGGCTGAACGGAGCTGCTTTGCACGTGCTACTTTCCAGTCATAAAGTACAAGATATCTTTGCACCCCTTTGCTGCACAAATGTTTCTCACTCAGTTTTGCTTCCTTGGTTGCCTTGCCAGGGTAGGAGACATTGAGCACAACCCAATAAATTGGAATAACTAAACTAGGAAAAAACCTTAAAAAAAGTGAACCATGTAATGCTTTTAGGACTGCAACCATCTGCTCACTGCACTTCCTGTGGGGTTTGTTCTGAGTGCTATGTTACAAAGCACTGATGTGAAGGGAGGGAAGGATGAGGCTGCCTGTTAGTGGAACGACGAGCAGATTTGTCGCAATTAAAAGTGTTGTTCTTGTCCCAGCGCCTCTTTGGGCGAAAAGGGAAGGAAAGAGCCAGATTTGAACTCTTCACTTCAGCTCCCTTTGGGGGAAAGAACCTGCTGTTCCGAGATGCCACTCAGCACCTGCAGCTTCTCGAGGAGCAGCTGGAGATTGCCTATGTCCTTGGTCTGGATTATGTAGCTCTCCTTAAGGGACTGGGCCACGAAGGTGAGAGGCCTTCCAGAGGACTGTAGCTAAGGAAAGGGAAGAAAAAGTTCTCCTTCCATGTAATTCCTCCCTGCCAGGCACAAGTGCACAGACCCAAACATCCCCTTACCAAATAACAGATTGGTGCATTGGTGAGGTGATCTCACTGTGCTCCTTCCCTCCCTCCCAGGGAGCTCTCTGGAGAACAGTGTCGTGCGCTGGTGCTGCATCAGCGATGCTGAGCTTCACAAGTGTGAGGAGTGGGCACTGAGCATCAAATCCGACCCCTTAGTCTGTGTCCAAGCAACTTCCATGACCAAATGCATCGAAATGATCAAGGTAGGAGACTCCCTCTGCTCGGAGTGTGTGATAAGAGTGCACAGGGTGTGTGTGTCCTGGTCTGACCTGAACTAGAGGAGGACCAGCTTGTGCACCAGAGGAACAAGTGGGAATGAGAGGGAGTTTGTGCAGGGGAATTTCTAACCCGTGGAGAGGCAGAGCTGCTTGGATACACAACTGATGCCAATCCTGGTTTTGTTCTTTTCTGGAATGCTGCTGGCAGAGCAGTGAGGCAGACGCGGTGACCCTGGACGCCACACACGTCTACATCGCAGGGAGGTGTGGGCTGGTGCCTGTAGCTGCAGAGTGTTATGGTGAGTTCTCACGTGACCTTTTCAAGGAGAGAGGGAGTCAAAAAAGTGCCATTAAGAATACAGTTAAATTTTCACAGTTTGTGATGTTTTGTGATGGAAGCAGGAATTAGTGTATGTGTCCAAATACTCTCCCCAGCTGCTCCACTAACTGTCTAACATTTGGTCTGTTTATTACATCCCTTCTGTAAAAGGGACAGACGTGCTGGTGTGGCTGAAGAGGATCACAAGGGTTTTGTTGGTGTGCTGCCATGTAAAAGGAGTGACAGTAGTGGCAAGATCCTTAATAACTGTCTCTCCTCTCCAGGGGGAGATTGTGCCCAAGCTGCTGAGATCATGGAGAAAACAGGAAAACTAATTCATGTTAAGCACAAAGGTAACAGAATAACTTTGAGAGGGCAAAATACTTAGCTCTTCCTGAGACTGCTCTAGGGTTTATGTAAGAATGTATTTGCATGTTTGTTTGGAAGAAAATTTTCTGTTTAGGACAAGAGCTTTGTGGCTAAGCAAAGAATGCAGGTCCTGTACTGCAACTGAAATATTGTGACAGGATGAGGGAGGGAAGAGGGGGCTGTACCTGTCTGGAATACGTAATTGACTTGCTATAACCAGTTTTTGTCATTGTTTTGCAGCACTGCCACCTGTTTATGCTGTTGCCTTGGCTAAGAAAAGTGCCAAACAGATTAACATCCATAACCTCAAAGGAAGGAGGTCCTGCCACAGTCACCTGTACAGTCCTGCAGGGTGGTTACTGCTGTCCAGACACACAGTGGGAGCTCTGGGGAATGATACCCAGAACTGTGACATTGGCTCTGGTAAGGGCTGCTCTGGATTATCTGTTGACTAGACCACGAAAATCTGAAGCCCTAAATCTGGGAGTAAAATGAGATGGGGCCATGAGGATTCAGCCAGCAAGTGATTGCAGTCTCAGAGGGTGTCGAAGCAGCGTTTCCCCATATCTGACTGTGTGTGATTCCTCACAGGATTTAGCCCTCTTCTTGCTAGCTATTAGGATGGAAATCCATTGCTGTCTTTTCCCATGTGTGAAGAGGTTTTGGAATGCCTTGCCTTAACCTCACCTCGGTTTTCTTTCCTCAGCTTATCAGAATTACTTCTGGAAGGGCTGCATGCCGGGAGCAGATGGCAACATGTGCAAGGTGTGCATTGGGGACAGTGAGGTGGAGGGGGCCCGAGTCTCCAGCAGATGTGCTGCAGGTCACAATGAACAGTACTATGGCAACATGGGAGCACTCAGGTGAGCTTGTGATCAGAGTCAGAAATGCAGAGCAATAGCCAGAATTGGATTATTATTTTGCTGATGATTTCCTTGGAAAGTTTTTTTCCTCCTTTTTGTTGAGCAACTGGCTGTATAAACTTTTGCCAGAGTGTATTTTGTTTTGGTTGCTGTTGCTATGGGATGTTCAGCTGACTGGTGATTTAAAATAGTCCTGAAACCATTTCTAGAGCAAGGCAATGCTTCCAAACATGTAGGGCTTAGAGAATTGGTACTGACTCATTAAGGGGAAGGATTGAAAAATAGTTGAGAAGTCAGAGAGCAGAGGTGATGTGGGAGGAAACAGGGTAGGATACAGGAGGTAATTAGACTGGAGATACCAAAAAAATAGTTGAAGACAGAAGCAGAGAAGAATCTTAAAGGTGAAAGCACTCTTATAAAAAAATATATATATAATGCATTTAGTTGAATTACATTTCTTTCCTGCCCAGGCATGGGCAAAGGTGCACATTGTGCCCACAGCTTTGGCTTGGGAGCTGCTGGAAGGGATGACGGGATTCTCTTAGCAAATATGTGAACATATATGAGACCTATACTGACATCACCAGCTTGTTCCATGTGACAACCAAGTTATTACAGATGGGAGGGATGCTTCCAGCTACTCCTCTTTTAGCTTCAGGTGACTGTGCAAATGTCAGTCATCGTGCAGTGGTTATCTCTGATCGCTTCTTGGTTTTTTCCTGCACTAGGTGCCTAGTTGGCAATCCCAGTGGAAGAAGCTTTGGAGATGTAGCTTTCCTGGAACACTCTAACCTGCTCCAGAACATAGAAGGTGAGATGCAGATATTCTCTTTCCCTTTGAGAATGTTCATTAGCATCAGTCACTTCCCACAAAGTGACCATCACTTGTGAGGATCAGCCTTTACAGGTTTAATCTGGGTCCACAGTTTGGTGTTTGTGACCAGAAAACTGCAAGAACCTTCCTGCATGTGGGTGTTCCAGTAAAGCTCAACACTCAGATACTGTTAGAGAAGGAAAGAGGAAGAATTCCTGAGTGCAAAGATCAGTGTGTGTGTTGGGGGATAGTCATCCTTGGAGACTGCACTAATTTTTGGAAAGCTCAAAGCTTTAAAAAGCAGAGGATTTTCCCACCAGCCCTTCTCCCACAGGCAGCCAAAGTGCATTAAAACCCCATTGTTTTTAAATCAGAGTTTCCAGAATGAAAATGGCAGGTAAGGGCAGTGCTGTGGGTGTTTGTGCTGGGAGATGTTCTGTGGCTTCACTGTGACATGGCAACTTCCTTATGTTGTTTCACAGGCACTTATGGGATAAACAGGTCTAACAGCTTAATAGGCAGAAAACACTGCAAATTATTTTGCCTTTCACAGTTTCTAAAATAGCAATGTTACTACACTGTGAAATATTTAATTTCCTCTGGGAAACACTGATCTTTGCAACAGTCTAGCAATTGGATTTTGTTGATGAAAATGATTTTGGTTGAAGGAGCTTAAATCCCCTCAGTCTCTTAAATGATGTTTACTGCTCTGACAGCCCAAACATGCTTTTCATAGAGTCGAGGGGAAAGGGAATCCTCATTTTGTTCAGCCTCATGAAGCACATTGAAATTCTATTTTAGGCAATTTCAGTAACAGAAGAGACTTCTTGAAGAAAAGAATCTCTCTAAGATCAAGTGGGAATGTAAGGGCCTGGGAACCCCCAGGAAATCATGCAGCAATGAGCAGTTTGTTTGGGGAAGCAAAGGACATGCAGGCCAAAGTGCTTTGTGTCCAGAAAGGGATCTGGTCACAGATGAAGATGAGACATGATAGGCCTTGATGTTACTGTGGGTTTAGTTGAGAGGCACAGCTTAAGTTCACTGACCTGTTTCCTCAGTGCAACCACTACCCTGGTCCTTGTGCATTCCCAATGAATGACAACACAGACACTGTGTCTGTTTGGGACACACTGACTAAGCTTCTTCCTCTTCATTTCTAACATTTTTCATGAGATTCACCCTGTCTTCTGCTTTACTTTTGAAAAAGGATTTGCTTTCACTTTGTTTTCTTTTTAGATCTGGACAGCTCTGGTTGGGCAAAAGGTTCCACTGCCCTTGACTTTGAGCTGCTGTGCCCGGACGGGACCCGCGCGGCTGTCACGGAGTGGCCGGGGTGTCACCTGGGCCCCATCCCCCCCAGCACTGTCATGACTCGCCCAGTCACTGTCACTAAGATCTATGACTTCCTGCTGCAATCCCAGGTAAGGCAGGGAACAGGGAAAAGCTTGGCTTGTTGTCACCTGTTATGTACAACTCCTGAAAACCCTGTCAAGATCAAAAGCTTTCTATACTACACACATGAAGTGCCTTCATATCCAGTATGAAAGAATTAAAAATGTGCATAGGGTGTTAAGAAAATAATTATTTAGGTTCTCTAAAGGGGTATTTTGGCACCAGTTCCTATTCAGCAGCAGCCACACTTTTGCTGAAAAATAAAGCACTGCAAAACTGCATCTTCTTGTACCAATAAGGACAGTGCTAGATAAATGTGGACCCTTCTTTCTGCTATACCTAAAATTGAGAGTCACCAGCTTAACCTTCTACTTCTGATCCAAGCTGTGAAACTTACTTCTTCTCTCTTTAGGAATCTCTGGGAAGCAAATTGGATTCTGAATTCCAGCTCTTTCAGTCGTGGAGGTTCGGTGGAAGTGATCTGCTTTTCAAAGATGCTACTCAGTACCTCGTTCCTGCAAGTCACCTGAGCTATCAGGAAATCCTTGGAGATTCTTTCTTCCAGCTGGCAGAATCAGTGTTTAATTGCACACCTGCAGGTAAAGTCAAGTCCTTAATTCTGAGTTAGAGAGAAATGCAGCAGGCAGCCCCCTGTGCACAGCTATTGCCCTTTTGTTTAGGCTGTGTGGGAAAGTATGTTCTACATAATCCTGTTAGGAATAATTTCCCAAGGAGTCCTGTGTTTGGAGCTCCTTTAGAACTTCTGAAAGCTCCTATCTCAAAGCACTGAAAGTGGAGCTTTGCAGAAACAGAATAACCAACACATTGTAGAGCAAATATGAGGTTATTGAAATAGGACTGTTTTACTCTCACTCTGAATTTTTTCCCCTTCAATTCCAGGGATCAGTTCAGGAAAAAGGACATATAATGTTCATTTCTATATGCCAAACTTGGGGAAAAAGATAAGAAATTTTATATTTAATTCTTGAATTAACCTCAAAATAAGTTAAATAACTTCCTTTTTAAAAAGATCACACTATAGGGATTAAGATCAAAACCTTTATAAAACTCATCCCTTAAGGTGGCTTTTTCATTATTTTCCACTGAAAACTGTCTTAAGTGTGAAGTGTGCATTTAGCTGTCAGCAAAACTGGCACTGCCTATGGATCTGAAAATCTGTATTGAAGTAAATGAAGGTTACACATGAAATTAGACTTCTGGGAGTCTAAGTTGTTAAAGAACTGAAACTCAAAGGGGTAATTTTACCTCTATTTTAATGAATAGTACTTGAAGAATTTATTACTTTTAAAGCTGATAGCATCTTTAGGTATTTTCTTTCTGGTTTGTAGGCATCCTGGACTTCTGCAAACAGGATATCTGTGCATCCTCATCCAACTGACAGTGATACAGAGGCTGTCCAAGGCACATCACCACATCACCATCATTATTGAAAACCAGGAAATGTACAAGTCCAGCCCATCCAAAGCAGTCAGCAAGGAAACAAGCATCTCTAGAAATGTATGCTGAATACCTTCTTGTCTTTTTTTTTAAAGCAGGTTTGATGTTTATGATAATGTCAAACTACTCCTTTCCTGTTTGGAGCAGGGCAGCACAGGGAACAGCACAGAAGTAGGATCAGCAATTCTCTACAACTACTCTGGAGAAATCAGCATTTTTGTGGAAATAGCAGGGCCAATACCATGGACTAAAATACAGACTGGCATCAGTAGCACAGGTTAGTTGGTAGCATTTTGCCTTGCTTGTCTTATAAAGAGTTTCCATGCAACCCCCCCGCCCACCACACAGTCAACTGACATTTTGGTAACTGCAGCATTGTCCTCCTGTATCTGTGATTTTGGTTGCAGCCAGATAGTCCTTGCAGAATGCACATCTATGCCATAGGATGTATATGTAGTTACTATCAGAGCAGTGGTCTTTTCTGCTTTTAACTGGGAAAATGTATTTGCTTTTTTAACCAAGGATTTTTACTACTAAATGAAACCAATTTTTTTTCTCACAAATAAATGTATTAAGGCATTTAAGAACCAGCAGAACTGGATGCTTGCAGCCTTAAGGTGGAAAAAAAAAAGCAATGGATATTCATTCTTCTCAAAACCTCCAACCATTATTTTTTAGTACTTTGACACTTTGAATGTAAGATTCTATGAATGGTCAAAATATTACTTATCAATTAAACAGCATGGGTTTTACAAAGAAAAAAGTGGCTGTTAGTGGATGAAGATTGAGAGTGGATGGCTCTTCATGGGCAGGCTCATTTCAGTTTGTGAGTGTTACCACCCTCTGCTCTCAGACAAGGTTAAGTTTTTAATTAACAAAATAATTTAAAATCCTTCACTCAAAACTTTCCAGACCTTGCTACGTATGTTGCAGCTGTATAAACCTCAGCTATTAATAAGTGAGATGCAACTAGTGCAGACAATAAAGCCAGTGTATCTGCCATATAAAGGAAAGACATAAAAACCCCCTCCACCAAAACCAGCAAAGCCAGGCAGCTGTACTCAGTTGTAAAAAAATGCTGCTAAAAATACCTGGCTTTAAACAGTTTCTTCCAACAAGTTTTAAACAATTTGTCTTTCCTGTTGTGTGACTTACAGTCACACCTCTTCTGCCCCTTTTCACTTCCTGAGAAGGAAAAACTTTGCACTCTGGCTATAAAGTGTTTAGGATTCAGTGCATCTGAGCTGAGACTGTTCTCCATCGTGTTTGTGCCATTGTTTGACACTGACTCACCCAACGAGAGGACCCAAATCCAAACTCCTCCACCTTTCCCAGGAAGGTAAAGGTAATGGCTAAATGGTGAGTAAAGCAAGTCCCAGTCTGGTAACAGAGCCAAGTCCTCGGATGCTTGTTGCAGCCAAAGAGCTGTAGCCCTGAAGGAGGAGGGGAACACTAGAATGCTTCCTTAGCCTCTGAGGTGCTCCCTGCCTTTCCTTGCTGGAGCTCCCATGCCCTCTGCGGGGCCCGTGGAGCACTGCACCTCGGAGAAGGCAGTTCTGGAGCAGTGAAGAAATGCACCCGGAGCTTAGCTTTGCCAAGCTGATCAGTGATCAATCGAAAATCTGGGTTATACACAGCATTTTAGGGGTTGGAAGGGCAGGAATGCCATTTTCTGACACAGACAGTACAGGCCTTGGTGATGGTCCTGTGCTCCAGCTCTGATTCCCAAGCATCAGGTGATGCCTTGCACAGCCTGGACCACTGGCCAGCTCCAGCCTGGAATCTCAGCTCTGAGCAGAGCAGGAACTGGCCCTGCTCTTGGGCTCCTACTAGTCTGCTGTCTCAAGAGATGGATGCAGCCTCAATGCTGTGAATAGATCATGCTTAAAATTCCTCTTCAGGTGTGGCTATGGATGAAGGAACACCAGAACTGCTGCTCTGTGCCTCACCAACACCCTGTTACTTAACAGTGTCCATCTCTTTGGAGATTTGACCTCTTTCCCCCATGGATGCAGGACATGTATCATGCATGTTTAGCCATACAAGCCTGAAGGCCTTGAAAAACTGAAAGGTTCTCAGAAAAATTTATTTCCATAAATTAAAAACACACACAAAAGAAACAGTAAAATTTTAGATTCACACAATATTGAATAGAAACAAAATGCCAAGAGCATGATGGAGGCTAATGGCACAAGTGTACAAATTCTCATGGAGCTATTTGTTAACTTGATAGCATCATACAGATTTTCAATCCACAGTTATCATCCAGATGCTAGAAAAGCACCTGGAACATAATATACCAAAGGCCCACCTGTAATCCAATACAATGAGAACTGCTGGCAGGAATTCATATCCAGCAATCATCAGAACTCAAATGTACACAGCCAAGAGGCCAGCCAGGCTCATGCTGTACCATACATTAAGGAGCTTCAGCTGCTCCAGTCATAGCATGATGAAAATAACATTTTTTTTTCTTGGAAAGTGATCTTTCTATCTCCCATAATCAGCAAACCTAGCAAAGAGCTGCCTGGCTCTCCATAACTTACTACTAAGAGACAGGACATGGCAAAAGCTTTGCAATCCTTCTGGAGCTGCTCTGGTCATCACTCTGTGAGCAAAGATATACAATGTCTTTCCATGGTGATACAAAAAAATCCTCACTGGAGTGGGTTCACTTGATGAAAAGGCAAATGCACATCTCCTCCAGCTACAGACCCTCTATCCTTTTTTCTTGCAGTTCTCTGTGACAGAAGCAGCTCAGAGTGGCCAATGCTCAGCTTTTGCACAGTCCCCACTCCCACTGTGCAAGCAGCAGCCCCAGGGAACAGGCTGCTCCAGGAGTGCTGTAAACAGCAACAGAGGTGGGAAAGGAAAAGAGAAAAAAGTGCACAAGCACAACTGACACCTGTTTGCTGGAGGGGGGAGATGCTTGGTCTCCATTAGCTCACATCATCATACAGACACTGAACCAAAAGAGAATAATGCTGGATATTTGGGTTGCCACAAACTAAGGTCTGGGACAGGCTAAGCAACTGCAACATTTTTGTAACTCCTTCAATTACTGTAAACCAAAGAGAACTGAGTGTTTTCTTTGCTCTCTCTGCTGTAGCTTGTAGAAAGAAAGCTAAGAAATGTTCTTTCAAAGCAATCAGACAAGATAGAACAGAGAGGCGGATTAAAAAATCCCCACTCAAAACAAACAAACAAACCCCAACATAAGCCAAAGGAAAAAACCTAACACATTCCCTGTTTTAAAGTACACTAGAGGTCTGAACTTTTCCTGGACCCAAGTTTCTTCCCTCCCCACCCCTATCTTTATTTTCTTAAAGCCCCCACTAAGGTTACAGCTCAATTGTGTCACAGCACTGGAAGCCTCCCATATTAATAGAAGGTGAATGAATGTTCTCTAACAATCCCATTTTATAGCATAAATCCATAAAAATATATCTCTCACTCTTGCTACCACTTCCAACCAATCCATAATTGGGCTAATAAACCAGGATAGGGAAAGTTTCAAACATTTTTTTAGGAGGCAGTCAACCTTTGTTTTTTAGGGATTTCTTTTTACAAAAATAAAGAGGATCAATTAGAATGTTCTACAGCAGCTTAAAAGCTTAACCAGAAAAATAGTATGTCAATATGTTCAAACTTTGCTTGCCTTGGTACTTTACCCTCAAACTCCAAACCCTACTCCTCTAAGTGTGCACTCCTCTCTTTTCTTCAGTCTTCCTGATTAAAGATAATTACCCTTAAAAACAAGAATGTAAACCTTTGGGAATCCCAGCACATAAGCTGGAAGCAAAACCAACCAGATTAGACTTCTTTCAAGACTCAGGCACACACAGTGTAATAATCCTCTTCCATTTCTCTACTTTCAAAGCTCTGAAATTCAACAGATTGCTTGATAATTTTTAGTTTTCTGTTTGGTCAGTAACAGAAGTGGTAGAGCAACAGAAGACAATTATAGTATTTTCAGTCCTGCATTTATTGGGACTTTATAAAAAATACCCACCCACTAGGTATTTGCTCACTTTGAAGGTCAATAGAAACTCTATTACATGGGCAGGTAAATAAGAAAGTGCAAGTTCAAGTGAAAGAAAGAACAGACTAATTCAATTTGAGCATCCCAGGAATGACAGCTTTGCCTCAATAACTCCTCTAGGCACTAAGGGACAATGACCTGAACTGCAGCTGGCATTCACCTGGAATTATGCTTCAAGTAAGGGTAACAGAAGTTATGCCAGAAGGGAGCTCTCTTCCTTCAAAAGGCAGAGCTGAGAAATTGCCCAGAGCTGCATCAGGGGATTACAAATGGCCTTACATAAAAGATGTCCACGTGCCAGGAGGCTCTTGGTGCAGCACTGGCTATTGTGGACAACAGTGTGTACACAGAGGATCCAGTTAAGAGCTACAGGAATTAAAAATCTACAGTGGTAAAAAACCCTTTAAGATGGAAAAAAAATTTCTTGTTGACATTAAGTTAATATTTTTAATGGGTTTAAAATAACTTTAAAGCAAGGCCCAAAGATTTTGCTGGTATTCTCTACATGCAGCAGCTCAGTTAAACAGAAATCTCTGCTTATGTATCCTGCAGTTTAACATCCTCATGGGCTTTTCCTCTGGAGAAGAGGTTGGCATCAGCCAAGTAAGTAAAAAAATCTACTATTTGGGAAAAAGTAGTACTGGGCACCATTTTTCCTTAAAACATTACCCTTTTTTGAGTTTAATAATGTTAAAAGGTGTCCTCATGCACCAAATAAAGAAACATATACAAAGTGCAAGTTATATAAAGTCTGGTTATGTGAGGCTTCTGCTGCCTGGAGCCAGGAAGGGCACAGAAACTCAGAAGGAACCTTCTAAGTCAACAGAAGGAAGAAACAATTGAATGCAAACCCAGACAGCTACGTTTAATTATTAAAAAGTTAGTGGTATATCAAGAATGTGTTTGCTAGAATTCACCTTTATCAAACACTGCACCTCTTCTGTCACCTTGTTCAAAATAGCCATTAATTACAGTAACAACAGCAGACTCAAATGTGCAAATGATCTGGAGTACAGAGTTCTAGCATCACTGAAAGTGCACTACTTCCTCCTTTACACTCCTACTCTACCCCCAAAAGGTGTTTAAACATAATTAATTAAATATAAGCAGTATTTTCCAGAGGTTGAGGAAGGAAGGGTAAATTTTATGTGGCTGTGTTACACTCCAATAGGGACTTAAAAGAATCCCTCCAATAGCATTTAAAAAAATAAAAAACAAAATAGCACCTTAAAGAGGGTCACAGCCAAAAACTGATTATCAGATGTTAGAACAGAGTAATGCATGGAGAAGTCAGTAGATTTCTCCCCAGAGGAAAATACTCCAGAGGCTGACTGGACCATTCCCAGCTCCGTGGCTCCCTCAGATGCCGGAGGCCTGCTCCTGCTCCACCTCCTCTGCAAAAAAGGCTTCAAGGGCCATGAGCTTCTGACTGAGCAGCACATCCAGCTCTGCACTCTGCAGTGCAGCCCTTTTGGCTCGGGTGAAAGAACCCACTGCTTTGACTTTGCCTCGTGTCTTCCTTTTCCGGGGAAGAGTAAAGTCCTGGAACTCGAGAATCCGCTTTCTCTTCTGCTGGCTGACAGAAATCAAGTGTCCATTCTTCTCCTTGGGCTCTTCAAAGATTGTTTCCAAGCTCCTGGTAAAAGCAGAGAACACTTGGTGAACACTCGAGCAGCAGCAGCAGCAGCAGCAGCAGCCCCTTTACATGGACAGGGACAGTGGGGGATTTCATAACCCAAGTAAAGCTGCTTTAACTTTGACATTTTTACAGCTCTTCCACACCTCCTGTAATGAATATTTTCCACAGCTTCCACCTCCTGCCACTGCACCTTACTGCCAGCTAATTCCTCACTGCTGCAGAGACACTGGGGGAGAATCTCCTTATATCTGTATTTCAGCTCAATTATAGAATCTTGATTTTATAGAATAAATAGGTTTGAACATCTGATGACATTCATATTTTAAAGAACATGTAGTTCCCTTTGAATTCTGACAAAGTAATTACTTCACTTGGATGGAGACTGGAATGAATGAGTAGATGAAAAAAAGATACAAATCCATACTTAACCAGCTGCAAATTCTTAGTTCATATTCTATTTTACTGCTTTCCATTCAAATAGTAAAAGATACTATTTTTGAATTAACTTTCTCTACCACTTTAAAGTAGAGCAATTTAAAAAACATATCTCCCTCTCAGCTTTCAGACATGTTTCATCTCCTCTCTCTCTCTGCCTAATTAATTTACATTCATCTTAGTTTTCTCATTAGGAAGCAGAACCAACCTGGCTGGAGGAGGGGACTTGTAGTTCTTGTTTGTGTAAATTTCTTCTAAACTAAATTCTTTCTTCTTAAGCCTGAAAAAAAGTAATGACAAATCAATCAAGAAAGAAGAATTTCAAACCCACTTCTCTTCCCAGCAAGCAGATTTATGAGAAACAAGTACGAGTTCTTTGCCTAAACGCTGAGTAATTGTGCTTTAATTGGGGACAGGGAGGAATGAAAAATGAGCTCATTAAGGACCTAATTTCATGCAGTGTTTTTACAAGGTCTGGGTCAAGACTTGCCCTTTCTGCAGAGGTCAGTATTCCTTCTAGCATTCTGTGATGCTTTGAAATAATGATGCTCAAAAGAAGAAGGGGAAATGCCTTCACAGGTCCCTTTCTGGTGAAAGCTAAGAAAAATCTTCAAGTCTAACAGATCAACACTTTATCTCTTGAGACTCCTTTTAGTTATTGACCATTTCCAAGCTGATCTCTGAAGAAATGCATTCCTTTGTCAAAGCTGCCACTTGTGTTTAAGACAAAAGTGAACAAAATACCAGATGACTGATTGGAAAAGCTTTATCAACATTTGGCACTGTGATTACCCTCACTTCCCTAAGATCATATGCCACAAACAAGGAAGGAACTGGGAAGAACTCCAACATGATGTGCATCAACAGAACTTTCCAACAGATCACTTCATCTCACTGTGCACTGCAGAATGACTGATTTTCAATCTATGTCTATCAAAACAAATTTCTTTCTTCTTTAGAAAAATCATTCCACAGCAGTTTAGCTTTCCCCATTTTGGCCAAACCTCAGTGAGTAGTTCTGATAGAGCTGACAGCAAACAGACATCACTCAGCTGGGGCTGTACAAAACAGTGATGGTAAGAGAAGCAGTTACTGAGGTGACTGTACTCATATGGAGGAAAGGTAAGCAGCAGGAGCTTGTCTGAGTCCATTTCAGAGACACTGCTCACCTTTTTGGTTTGGGCAGTCCCATTGGAGTAAGGTTAGTGTCCGGCTTGGGAACAGTTTTCCTGATTCGGATCTCTGAGACTTTCTTTGGCCTCTTTTCTGGCTCAGTCTTAAAAAAAGAAAGAAGGAAAAACAAAAGTTAAAATGAAGAAAATTACAACCACATCAGTCAACAGAATTCCCTTTTCTGCTGAGTATATCTATATGCTGAGTATTACCTAGTATGCTATTATCTATAGATTAAACATTCCTCTCTGGTTTGCCACCTTCTTTCTGCATGAATCAAAGAAAGCAGCAGCACAGACCAGACCCTGCAGCCTGTTTTCTCCCCTCATCTTTAACAGTTACAAGGTTAATATTCAGCAGCAGCAGCAGCAGCTTCAAGTTCTGGAGACCCAGGAGTCTGAGAGACCTACAATATAAAATGAGCTCACTTTTTTCAGTTCTGTGTCATCCTGGGATCTCAGACAGGCTGGAACGGGAGCATCGGCTTCATCGAGGGCGTGGACCTGGAGCTCGGATGCTGAAAGCCTGGGGGGGGATGGCAGTGACTCTGCAAGTGTGGGAGGCTTTGGTAACGGGAGCGGGAATGAAGCTTCCAGACTGTAACACAGGAAGAAGGGAACACATGTAGATTAATACCCAGCTGACACTGCAGAGCATTCCCTGCTCTCAGTGATGCTCCTACATTGCAATATGGGCACGAAAAGCAATGCAGTTCACAGACACTGCCCCAGGAAGTGAACTCTGGTACACACACAGAGCCAAAACTGCTGCAGCCCACACTGGTACTGACACAAACTCAACTGCCAGAGTACCTGAACAGGTAATTTTAAACCCACTCTTTTTCTATAACTAGTTTACAGCTCTATTTATCAACTACTGATAGAAAGGGATTAATCCTTTTCTGCCAGCAGATTTCTAAGACACAGCTATTAATCATACTTTCTATTTACAGATAAACTTAAAATACAGCTCTTATATCTGCCATCCCTGCACTGAAAAAGAACAGAAGGAAGTTTCAGCACCAAATGTCCAGTTGCTCAGGCAGGAAGGACATAGATCAAGTAAGGAACCAAAACTTTTATAGTTTCACATATTCATTTCATAAAAAGTGGCACAGTGTGGTTCAAAGTACCAGAACTGTTCTGTGCAATGACCCACAGGGTGTTTGCATTAATGCCCCTCCACTCTTCTCCATTACATCACCCAGTCAGGTTACTTCACTGACTTTTTAATCACAAAGCTGTTCTGGGAGTGAACTGCCAAAAGCTGAAAGCCAAAATGACACAGGCAATGGCTTTCTGAGACAGCTCACGATCCCACTGCTCAGAATAAACATAGACTCACCGTATGTCACAGCCTGCAGTCTGCAGTGCTTCCATACTCTGGGCAGGGAAGTGTGGTAACATGGCATAGCTGCTTCAAAAGGACAACGAGAAAACAAAACAAAACAAGGCAGAAATTAGGTCTACACCATAACAAGATGAGGGAAAAATTATTAGTATAAACTGGACTGTAAGACAAAAGATACTCATAGCAGGAATGAGAATGAAAGACTAAAATGATATAAAAGCAAGATACATCTGCCATTTAAGCCACTAAATTTCATTGACAGCTTGTTAAGGAAATAGTCCTACTTTCACTTAAAAATGGTAGTGGTGAGATAAGGAAATAAAAGTATAGAAAGAGAGAAAGACAGTAGTATTGCAAGTCATAATTATTTCTATATAATTATTAAAGTCTAAAAGTTGTAATTATTTCTATGAAAGTCTATATTCCTTATTCAAAACCCCCAGTTTTTAAAGTAACCAAAAACCTTGGAGGATTTGGCTGCTAAATAAAACAAAGTGCATAATGGCAACAGTAACAAGTGAAAGGAAGTATTTCCATAAGATTAACTCCCTGTTGTCTCCAACTCCCACAGCCTTGTCCTTAGCAATTGGAATAACCAATGGGTTGGTAATTACCATAAATCTATGGCATAAAAGTCCTTTGACATTAAGCTGTACTACTAACAGCAGGAAATCAGTTTGGATGGCTTTTAGTGCATTAAATAGCAAATCTTGTTCTCTCAAATCCACAGCTAAATGCACTTTGCTGTTCTAAAACCCAGCCATGCTGGCAGCACAGGGAAGTCCAACTAACTGTAGAGAAGGTGGTCAGAAAGACCCTTTTCTTGTGTTTTTCATTTCTACCAGAACTGTAACATTTTGTTTCTCTCACTGTTCCACTATTCCAACGCTGCTGGAACCTGGCTCAGCAGTGCAGCAGAGCCCTCCCTGCCAGAGGCAGAGCTTACTGTGTTATGCAATAATAATAATAAAATAACAATAATAATAATAAATTACAAGAATGGGGAAAAAACCCTTTAGAAATATTTAATCCAAATAAGCATTAATTAGAGAAAAGAATGCTTTATTATTGGCAGTGGAAGTGACAGAAGATTATCTTTAGGCAGGAGAACTACTCTAGTTCCTTGTTCTTTTGGTTATTGAAAACACTGTGAGTGAAATAATTTAAAGAGAAAAATCTTTTTCAGAAGAAAGTGGCCTGCAGGGAACTTTTCAATTTTTTGTGATTTTTAACTATCTTAATCAAAATAAGCAAAGATTTCTGTCATACTGGGAGCTGAAAATGCTTTTAGACTGCACCAAACACACTTCTTGTATTTACATACCAAACATTTATTTCGTGATTTTTTTTGAATACACACAAATTTAAGAGGCATTTACTGAATTGTCCTTTTTTCACTGTTCCTGTTAATAACTTTAAGAATTATTAGTTGATGAGAACAGGCAGTCAATCTTCAGCAAAACGGAATCTAAAAAGGTGTTAAATATTTAAAATGTTAGGTTTTGTTCTTTATGTTGTTTTATTGCCAAACTTTTAATATTCATTTTGATTTAGAAACAGAATTTATTTGCTGCACTTCTTTAAACTCTTCAGCTCACCAGATGCTACAATAACTTCACTTGGAAGAAAATCCGAGTGGGGCAGAATTAAGGCTGCCTCACACATATATTTGTAAGGTATCTTGGAGAAAAAACAAAGGGAGTTTTAGACTATTTTAACTCTAGGTTATTTTTCACTTGAAGTGAAAAGGTTTGATTTAAATTCTCTCCCTTTGGGAAGAAGTTCATTCATAGCAAAACATGCAGTTTTCAAACGACCCTTCATGTCAGGAATGAACTCGTCTCACACTTCCAAGGACAACAAGCCTCAGCAATACCAAACAATACATTCACCTCATACACACAGGTAAGTTTTAAAAAGGTGATTGTTTTGTTTTTACCAATGTGTTATTTTTAAGCTTAGTGCTCAAACTGTACTTTACTGATAAAATTATTCCAGAGCTACTCATGCGTTCATTAGAAAATTCAGCCTGATAAATTGACTCAGCTGGAATGAAAACAGAAGCAGGTCCCATAGAATGTGCTGAGAGTTGTCTCTATGCTATTATTCAACTTATTTTAGTGCAGACAGCTCCCAGAATGGGGCAGCACTTCCATAAGCTCAGTCACACCTTTGGTAGACATTAGAATTTATATTAACAGAATTTATATTAACACAACTTTTAGGTGTGTTTATAGAAAGCAAAGTGCAGCATTAGTTATCTGGCAGGATTTTTGGTTACACTTATGTCAGGCTATGGCATAAGACAAATTCAGCAGTTCAGACTGCCATACTAATCAAAAGAATTCATCACAGTGACTTTGCTACAGGGCTCAGGAGCCTCTACTCTGCCCAGGAATAAAACCAAGGACTAACTGCCCCGTGTCACTGAGGGATGGATAAAGGGCAGAATCTTTGCTCAAAAGCATGAAAAATCCTGTGACAGAGCTAGGAAAACCTCCTCTTCATTCTGTTTATTAGTAAAATGATCTTATATGCTGACAGCAAAGTTAAATTAAATATGCAAAGTAGATTTCAGTCCTCTCCCCACTCATAACAAGAACGACACACAGAGAAAAATTCATTACCAGCATGAACTGGAGCTACACTTGTGTGTGACAGCAATACCAGGCACACACTGTCAGAAGGTATAACATGCACAGAGAGCCTTTAATTAGCATAGAACAGTCATGGAATACAATTAAAAATTTAACTGAATGCAACCCCCCTCCCCTTCCGATTCTTCCTAACCTGATATTGAGCACTTTACAGTTGGTTCCAAGTGGCACTTGTGCCTCAGACCTCTGAAAAAAACTTTCCTACCTCAGAAATCCAGTTGCTCTGCAGTCACTCTGAATAGACCTAATGAAGTAGCTCACCTTTTGCATTATATACTCTGATGCATGGTGTGTATATTTTGCAAGGGAGAAGAAAATAGAGTTAGCCATTCTGCCAAAACAGGACAGTATTAAAGAAGTGAAGGCAAATATATTTAAATTCAGCTAACAGACTGTTCTGTAGGAAAGAATCTTCCACGTTGAGCCATTCTTGGAGCAGAATGCGTAGATTTGGAACAGGGGAAACTGCCCCTCCAATGCAAGCTGCAATTACCCTCTCCCTCCCAAAAAGGAGCCAGTATATACCCTGTACAGATTTAACCTCAGAAATAAGTTGATGGGTTTTACCTGTTCTCGATGCCCACACTTGGCTGCCACTTGCAGTGATTGGAATGGAGAGGAGGGATTTCGGAAGGACGGGCAGAAGGACCGTGCTGACTCCATATGGAGAGGACCCTGCCCAGTGAGTATGGCAAGGAGGAGACGAGGTCAGCGGATACACAGCTTGGATACCTTGCCCCTTTCAAACCCTGTGCCAGTTGGGATATAAATAGTCTCTGGATGGTAGGAATATGACTGCTTAAGTTTCTTCTTCTTGTCCAAATCCTGTAACATCCAGGGGAAGAAAGTGCTAACACTGTGCGAAGGCCAAGCGTGGAACAACCTCCTCTTCTCTCAGCTACAGTGTTTCTTCCACGGTCAGGATGAAGAGCATCAGTCCTTGGGGCTGTTACGGAGTGAGAGGAATGAAGCTCTTTATTTAGAGTAGAATCTTCCTTGAAAGCTGTTGTATCTGAACAGCTTTGAGACAGGAGAAAAGACAAAGTCCACTTTGAAGCTGGTGCTGGCATTTCTCTGGAAATAGGTCCGTGATGTACAGAGTGCTGGGATGTAATCCCTGTGAGGTCTGGCACGAGACTGGAGTCCAATTTTATGTGAAAAGAAATTGGGAAAACTGGGGTGTCCGAGAAAGAGGTCGGAGGCTTGTGGCTTAAGTCTGAAAAAGGTATTTTGGTAGTTTCTACAGGATAAAGTGCCAAAGGCTGAAAGCTGAACATCTTGGTGCACCAACTGCCAGCCCAGCGTGAGTGAACGTTCCTGTTAATGCAAGAAAAGGCTTCCAAGAGATTTTTCGATCTGTGGTGGCTGTACCTGTCACCCACTGGAAGCATTTCAGAGGAATATGGCCGAGGTTCTAAGTCACAGGCGCCTTTGGCAGGGGCCAGGAGCTTGTTGGCCATGGCAGACAACTTGCTCAGCAATGCTGGTTCTTTGGTACATTTCCGAAATTTCAAGCTGTTCAACAAACTGCCCCTCCTGGCCCTCTGCCTTGGCATAGGAGCAACTCTCAAGGGTGTTTCCCTTTCCGTTGGTGGTGGTTGACATGGAAAGTACAAAGATTCCAGAGGTGTGTTTTCCTGCTTAGGGGATATTTGCAGGGGTAACTCAAGGAAAGGTGGACTTTTAATTTTTTTGATTTTTCTAATGGTTTTTAGCTGATACGATGTGGGAACCTTTTTGCATGTCCTTCCAGGTTGTATTCTTAGTGGAAGAGGTCCTCCTAGTTTCTTTGTCGTTCCTCTTAGTTTATTTGTAGTTCCAAAGGCACCGGGGATTCCATCATACCCTAAATTAAGGTTCAGGTTTTCCATTTCTGAATCCTGAGTCTTCAAAAACTGTGAACTAATAATATCTGTGGTAATCTTTGGCCTTTTAACTTCTTGTAAAGTGCTACATAGTTTCCTTTCACTGCTTCTGACAGCAAAAGTCTCCTCTAAAGGACCTTCAAACTTCGTATTTCTAGATGTCACCAACCCATTTGAAGAGCTGCCTAA